GCCTTTTGGGCTTCGGCCTTGACACTCTTTGCACTTTCAAGGGCCGTGGCAAGCTCGGACTCTCGCGTCTTCAAGTAAAGCTCCAACGCCTCGTGCTTCATCACGAGAGTATGGAGCTCTTGCTGCAGCTCGCCCACCCGTGCCTCATGCCTTTCCCGCTCGGTGCGCTCCTTGGCCGCTTTGTTTTCGGCCTCGGATAGTGCTTGCTTCAGGGTCGCCACCTTGGTCGTGGCCCCTGGCAAATTTACGATGATCCTGTCATTTTGCAATCGTATTCTTTTTATATATATATATCCATAGACTAGGTACTACTTACCTTTTTTCTCCTCGAGCTGCCTCTTGGCAAGGCTGAGCTCTTCCTTGGACCCTTCGAGGTCCTGCTTCAGTGCAGCGACCTCCGCAGTCAGTGCGGCAGAGGCCAGCAGCGAAGCCTGCATACGCATATAGACATACTTATATTAGACTCCTGCGATATTGTTTGATCCTCTGGTCGGCTTTTCTTTGTGAACACCGACCAGAGCATCAGGGGCTACTGTCTATGCGGTAATATTTTTCCTATATTTCAAATACTTACCTCAAAGCCTGTCAGAAGGCTGGCACAGGCTTCAGCCAGTCCGCTCTTGACGGACTGAACCTTCTGGATCACCACACTCATAATAGTGCGGTGCTCTTCGTCGATGGAAGCGCTGAGAAGCGCTCCCAGCAGATTGTCCGGTGCCTCTGGATGGACAGAGGTCACCGGCACAGGCGTCTTGCCCCTTTTGGAAGGAGGCCGCCTGCTTGAGACCGGAACCACTGGAGGTTCCGGCGCGGTGTTCGGCTGAGGGCCAAACTCGAAGCCCTCGGGAGCCTTGCTCCCTCTGCTCCCGGAATCCGGAAGGTCGCCTCGAAGCGCCTCCGGGACTATCTCCCCTCGACCCGGTGCCTCTTGAGACAATACCTCGGCATTGTCCGTAGGGCAAGGGGAGGTGGCAGTCAGAAGTGGATCGATATCCATATCCGATGAGCCCAGGGAGCTGTCCGACGATACGTCGATACGGGCTCGTGGCGGTCTGCATAATCATTCGGCGTTAGGAGAAGCAGTGCGACGAAGGTATGCTATGAATTACTCTGGCATCCGAATACTTACGACTTCGCGGGCTTGGCCCTGAGCAGCCACTCGTCTTCGCCTTCGGCGGCGGTGGTGGAGTAGTCCGGAAGGAGAGTCCTTCCCTTTTTGGACCCTTCGCCCCCCCCCCCCGGTTGGGGCGGCCTTCCTTTTCTTGTCTCCCCCGACTGGAGGGGGAGCATCTTCATCTTCCTCCTCGTCTTCGGGGGAGGAGTGAGTCGCGGAGTTATTGGACGATGAGTCAGATAACACCTAGTGTCGGGAACTCTTTCGGGTTCCCTTAGCCTTCTTGGTCTTCTCCGGCACCTTGTAAGGAGCCGGACTCAGCATCTCCGTCAGGAGAGTGTCCGCAGTGTCTCCGGGCAGAGGGACCAGACAGTTAATTTGCCCCGACGTCTCCACCCAGTCCTGTCAAAGGCATGGAGCTCAGACCCCGCACATGATTAAGCTAGGGGAAATAAAATATCTTACCGGATGTATAGAACTCACCGAATGCGCTGGGCGCTTCGCGCTTAGCCCTCGGTCCTCGGTGAGAGAGGGAGGGACCTCGGCGCCCTTGAACAGCACCCTCCAGACATCCTTATGCATCGTGTCGAAGAGCTCGCTCAGAGTCTAGTGATGGGCCAGGTCGAACTCCTACAAATTGAAGTCCCGTTGTTGACACAGAAGGATCCGACGGATGAGCATGACCTGGACTATGTTGACAAGCTTGAGCTTTTTGCTTGCCATATTCCGGATACACTTCTGGAGTCCGTCCAGCTCCACCGATGAACCCCAGGACATGCCCTTCTCTTTCCAGGAGGTGAGCCGCATGCGGATTCCGGATCGAAACTCGCGGGCCGCCACCCAGGTGGTGTCGTGCGGCTCGGTGATGTAGAACCACGCCGATTGCCACCCCTTTATGGTCACCACAAAGGAGCCTTCAAGCCATATAACATTGGGCATCTTGCCCACCATGGCTCCGCCGCATTCTATTTGTTAGCCCCCCACCACCTTCGGCTTGATATTGAAGGTCTTTAGCCACAGGCCGAAGTGGGGTCGGATGCGGAGGAAAGCCTCACACACGATGATGAACGCCGAAATGTTGAGGATGAAGTTCGGGGCCAGATCATGGAAGTCCAGCCCGTAGTAGAACATGAGACCGCGAACGAATGGATGGAGGGGAAACCCCAGTCCGTGGAGGAAGTGGTGGAGGAAAACCACCCTCTCGTGAGGTTCCGGGGTAGGGACGATCTGCCCCGCAGCGGGCAGCCGATGCGCGATATTCGCGGCTAAGTATCCGGCTCTGCGCAGCTTCTTGATGTGTCCCTCCATAATGGAGGAAGCCATCCATTTGCCTCCCGCTCCGGACATGTTTGGAGAAGGTTGAGGGGAAGGATGTGGACTTGGGTGTTGGATCTCGAGTGTGCAAGAATGGATGAGCAAGGAGGAAGAAGGCGTGGGTAGAAAAAGGTTAAACCTTGTCCCTTTATAAGGGCGACCGAAACTATGCGTCCCCACTAGCCCGGTAAAACTCGCTTATCCCCCAAGCACCGTAATCGATGGCACGGTTGGGTTACCCACACCATTATTGATGAGAATCCCGTAATAAGAGGGACACGTTCTCTGCGTTGACAAGACATGTCAGGAAACTGCCCCGCATTATGTGCGGGGCTAGTTAAAGGAAACGGTTCGAATAATCACCGGGCCATGACATAATGTCATGTTGCCAAGACGTGTCAACAGATTAGATTTGTGGAAATATTATTCTCTCTACGGTGGTATGTGGAACTTATTTTGCAGGGTCGGATACTATCCTTGTATTCAAATTTTTCTGTGGTGTATTCGGAGGAGGAACCTGCCTTGCAATGTCGAACACAACACTGCACGCTGGACTCATCGTCATTGAAGCCTGGTTCAGGGGCTACTGAGGGAGTCCTAGATTAGGGGGTATCCGGACAGCCGGATTATATCCTTTGGCCGGACTGTTGGACTATGAAGATACAAGATTAAAGACTTCGTCTCGTGGTCCAGATGGGATTCTACTTGGCGTGGAAGGCAAGCTAGGCAATATGGATATGTATATCTCCTCCTTTGTAACCGACCTTGTGTAACCCTAGCCCCCTCCGGTATCTATATAAACCGGAGGGTTTTAGTCCGTAGGACAACATACAATAATACCATAGGCTAGCTTCTAGGGTTTAGCATCTCCGATCTCGTGGTAGATCAACTCTTGTAATACTCATATCATCAAGAATAAATCAAGCAGGATGTAGGGTTTTACCTCCATCAAGAGGGCCCGAACCTGGGTAAAATATCGTGTCCCCGGCCTCCTGTTACCATCCGCCTTAGACGCACAGTTTGGGACCCCCTACCCGAGATCCACCCGTTTTGACACCGACAGCAACCATCCATCCATCCAACACTTCAATGATTTACTACCATGTAACCATAGTTTAAAAAACCAAACCGGCAAGGTTGCCGGTTCAGGTTTTTACCCGTGGACCGCCAGTTCATCGATTCGATTGTCGGTTTTTAAGCAATAAAATAATATATATATATATATATATATATATATATATATATATTTATCAATAAATGCACCAGTCAATAGATAAAAATTGTGATATCAGAGGTGACCGTCGGGCATCTTGGTCCTCCTGCTCGGATGCTCTTGGTCTAGACTTTGAAATGGAGGGAGGCAATCAGAGGGAAGCCTGGTCGATTTGACTGGAGAGGAGAGAGGTCGAAGTTGTACGCACTAATTGGACCAGATGGCGGCATCCCCCCTCCTAAACCGTCAATAGAGGTGGTGCAGATGGTGGGACGCGAGAATGGCAGTGTGGACTGGTGGCCTGGTGCTGTCGCGCAGAGCGATGAGGGAGAAGCGACATCGCCATGGCATGGCGCCAAGCAAGGGTTGCGCCGGCGGGGCCACCGGCACCAATAGGATTTGTCCGTGTATAAAATTGAGAGAAATGCTCCTAAAATTGTTGAAACCGTATTAAAAGAGGTGTTTTCTTCCTTTTTTTTATCCTACCTCCAGCTTGTTCGCACGAAAACAAGTTGATTGAGAGGCTTTTCTGAAAACGACATCAAACCGATCGGTTTTCTATGAACCACCCGATTCATCAGTTTTGGGAAGAACGGATGGTTCGGCCGGTTTTTCCGGTTCGATTGCTCAAACGGTCCGCACTTAAAAAAACTGCTTGGATCGCCGGTTTCTGTTTTTCCCAGTTCGACCACCGGTCCGGTCCAGTTTTTTAAACTATGCATGCAATGTATACTTCGCGCGTCCGTAGCACTAACAAGGCCTTGTACAATGCAAGGTGCTTCGGGGAAGGTGCTTAGAGAAATCAACCAGGTTTTTTTTAAGCACCGATGCTTATTTGTACAGGATAGACGCTTAACTAAGCGTCTCTCCTATAAAAATAGACACCGATGCTTCACAAAAATTCGATTTATTTTTTAAACACCTTCCTAAGCATCTTTCATTGTACAAGGCCTAACAGGCCAGTCAACGGTGGATAGCCTGCGGAAGAGGTCACTCAACCGCATTGGTACCATGCATCCCAGGGAGTACGCACCCGGATGGGAGGTTTTAGTCCAGATGATGATTAGCCAATCAAGCTCAATGTTGGCGCCTGCGATACATACCTGTCTGTACGTAGCAGCACACGTGAACACACCTCACGTACATACACACGTCCATCTATCTATCTACTCTTGTGCCTGTCCGTGTCCGGTCCCTACACACTCTCCACAAAGCAGAGCGCACGTACGGTTGAGCGGTCACATCCGGGGGATGGACGACGGGTGCCGCCGGGCCCCGGGAAAGTACCGGGCAGCTCCATCTGTCTTTCCCAGCCACTCTCCGACCCGACCTACTACCACAGTACGTCCATTGCCCACCATGGGAAGGTACGCGGTACGCACGTACTACCAGCCGCGCCATGCAAAGGATAATTCCCCGTGGGGCGGCAGCGGGAAGCAGCTGTATGGCAGAGGCCGCGGGCGATCCGGCAGCGGCAGGCTTCCCCGTGCCTGCTGCCGCACGGCGACACGCCCCGCCCCCGCGGCCGGCTCCCGCGGGTCTCCGATCCCTACCCTGCATGCACCGCAGCGCACTCGTGCGATCGCCACCCACGGTGAACAGTCGGCGTCGGTAAAGCTAGCTGGCTGCTCCAGCTCCGCCAGCGCCGCCGGATGTTACTTTGGCGCGCCGACCTGGTTTCCCCCGCTCGCCGACGTCGACGGGCAAGTGTGCAACAGCTGGCTCTGCCGGGCCCCGCTGTACGGTGACGCGACGTCACCAGAGCCGCCGCTTTCCTTTGCCGAGTGCATGGGCATCTGCGAGCTGGGCACCGCGCCCGATCGATCGGCCAAGAGAATTCTTGATTTGCTGCTGCTTTTGGATTTTGATTGCTATGAATAAGACGCGCCAACTCAAAGTATTCTTCAAGCCGGTACAGTGCAGCGGGATTGTCAGTACGTTCGCAGGACATAATCACGGAAGCATCACCTTTGTGGCCGAAGGGATGCTTTGCTCCCCACCTAGAAGCCGATCGTCGGCCGGAGGTTCTAGCCGATGTGCCTGCATTTTGTAGAAAAGTAAGGGAGCATAACTAACTGTTTTTTGCGGAGAAGGGAGTGTAACTAACTAATACACATTTATAAAGTTCGATTTATTAAAAAATCTATACGCACTACATTTTGGAATGAAGGGAGTACTGTCGAATATTAGTTTAGAGTAGCCTCAAGAACAAATTAACTTTTGTGCCTTTTCTTTCCCTTCTCGCAAGGCGACTAGAGAAAGCATTCTTCCCTTCGATCTCCGTCGACGAGCCCATGGATTCGCCTCCCCTCCGCATGCCGCTCCGGCGCCCAGTGGTGGGGAGGATAATCCTGGTGTCTCGGCTTAGATAAGTAGTGTTTTAGTTCTCGCAAGGGCGGCACTTGGACGGATGGTGGTGCTTCTTCTTCGAGTCAGTCTTCCAGGCTCCGATCCTCCTCAAGTTGTTTATCGGGATGGATTAGATCACTAGTAGAAAAATGGTTAAACGTGAAGCACATTAGTGCCGGTTTGTATTTGAGCCGGCACTAATGTATACATTAGTGCCGGTTCCAACGGCTAGCCGGGCCGCTTTCATTAGTATCGGTTCGTGGCGAACCTTTAGCACCGGTTCGTGCCATGAACCGGTACTAATGAGAGTGGTGGCAGGATGTTGTCAGACTGGGGCCCCTCCAGCCCCTTTAGTACCGGTTCTTGGCACGAACCGGTACTAAAGGTCGTCCTACATAAACCATTCGTCCACCCGAGCTCGCTCTGTTCTTCCCCTTTCCCCTCTCCTCTCTCTGTTCTTCCCCTCTTCCTCTCGAGCTCATCACACATTTTGCCCAAAATTTGTCAAGATTTGAAGGCCCCCATTCATTCAAATGATCACAAAGGTTAGCAACTTTGTCCTTTCATCTCTCATTGCTAGATTAGCTCTTGCAATGCTTTATATAGTGATTAATTTGTGAGTTTAGTAATTTGGGAGGATATATATATATATATGTGTGTGTGTGTGCTAGTATTTGATTTATATGCAATTTGAGGTCAAAAATAACACTTAGTTTGCATATGTAGGTGTGGTTTACTTAGTGCCTTCTAAATCTCCGTCGTAACCACCGTCGATCGCCCGCACCGTCCCGTCGCCGGCACCACCTTGTGGTGAGCCTCTTGTTCATGAAATTTTATATAAAAATTGATGTTTGTGTGATTTGGATATATAGTTACTCGTATAATTATTTTACCCGTACGTTGTTTGTTATACATATAGTGCCATGGTTTTGATATCCGTCCCTGTCGGCCCTCGTCCTTGTTATGATTCGGATGTGGTATATATATTCTCTTTTAAAACTAGTTGCATTTCGTGTTTATGACACATTATGCCCATCAAGTTGACATAGAAATTTTTTCTAGGAGGTATGTGAACCGGAAATTCCAACCGACCCTATTGTCGAGAGGTTAAATTTAGTTGAAAGAGAAAACGAGTACTTGAAAGAAAAATTAAAAAGAATTGAGGGGGAGAAGATGGAATTGGAGTTGCATGTTGCCGATGTCGTCGATGATCACAAGATCAAGATGGAGAAAATGCGCTTGAAGATTAGAAAGATTAGAAAATATGCCATCGATAGTGAGGCTTGGTATCATTATGCTGTTGGATCCATTGTTACCTTAGTTGCGATCTTGATCGCATTTGTTGTTGCATTTAAATGCTTTAGCTAGAGAGTTATTTGTTTGTTGCATTTAAGTGTTGTATGAACTTGTATTAATTTGGTCTATTCGGTGTTGTGTAATGAAGATGAGCCGGCAATGGATATACGATGACCGATGCTCTCCCCAGTTCGTTGAGGGCGTGCATACTTTTCTGCTTGCGGCTGAGGCAAACAAGCGGGCGGATGATTTTATGCCTTGTCCATGTGCTGGCTGTAAGAATGGTCACAATTACTCTACGTCAAGAACCATTCACGTCCACCTGTTTAAGTCCGGTTTCATGCCCCATTATAATGTTTGGACCAAGCACGGAGAAAGAGGGGTTATGATGGAAGACAATAAAGAAGAAGAGGATGACGACAGCTATCCTGGCCATGGGTTCCCTGAATACAATGCTACAACAATGGGAGAAGAAGCTGAGCCGGTAATGCGGGAAGAAGCTGAGCCGACAATGCGGGAAGAAGCTGAAGAAGAGGCATCAGATGAGCCCGTTGATGATCTAGGTCGGGCCATTGCCGATGCAAAGAGAAACTGTGCAAGTGATTTGGAGAAGAAGAAGTTGCAGCGCATGTTAGAGGATCACAAAAAAATGTTATACCCGAATTGCGTAGGTGACAAGAAAAAACTGGGCACCACACTGGAATTGCTGCAATGGAAGGCAGAGAATGGTGTATCTGACAAGGGATTTGGAAAGTTGTTGGTAATGATAAAGGATATGCTTCCAAAGGACAACGAATTGCCCGAGAGTACGTACGAAGCAAAGAAGGCTGTCTGCCCTCTAGGGTTAGAGGTGCAGAAGATACATGCATGCCCTAATGATTGCATCCTCTACCGCGGTGAGTACGAGGATTTGAACGCTTGCCCGGTATGTGGTGCATTGCGCTATAAGATCAGCCGCGATGACCCTGGTGATGTCGAGGGCGAGCGCCCCAGGAAGAAGATTCTGTTGGGGAACCTAGTAATTTCAAAAAAATTCCTACGCACACACAAGATCATGGTGATGCATAGCAACGAGAGGGGAGAGTGTGATCTACGTACCCTTGTAGATCGACAACGGAAGCGTTAACTTGGTTGATGTAGTCGTACGTCTTCACGGCCCGACCGATCAAGCACCGAAACTACGACACCTCCGAGTTCTAGCACACATTCAGCTCGATGACGATCCCCGGACTCCGATCCAGCAAAGTGTCGGGGAAGAGTTCCATCAGCACGACGGCGTGGTGACGATCTTGATGTACTACTGTCGCAGGGCTTCGCCTAAGCACCGCTACAATATTATCAAGGACTATGGTGGAAGGGGGCACCGCACACGGCTAAGAATATGATCACGTGGATCAACTTATGTCCTTAGGGGTGCCCCTTGCCTCCGTATATAAAGGTTCAAAGGGGGGGGGGGCGGCCGGCAAAGAGGAGGCGCGCCAGGAAGAGTCCTACTCCCTCCGGGAGTAGGACTCCCCCCCTTTCCTAGTTGGAATAGGATTCGCGGAGGGGGGGAAAGAGGAGAGAGAGGAGGAAGGGGGGCCGGCCCCCTCTCCTTGTCCTATTCGGACCAAGGGGGGACGGGCGCGCGGTCCATCTCTGGCCACCTCTCCGCTCTTCTACTAAGGCCCACTAAGGCCC